GTTTTTTAGCATTCGGCTTAAAGAAGTTGCTGTTGCCAATCTTTATCGGTGCACAGATTATTAAAAGCATCCTCATAGCATTGTTCCTGCCCAGTATCATAGGCAGTCTCGGCAAGATTGTTGGAAAAGGTCAGATTAAGCAAGTATATATATATATATATATATATATATATATATGCATTATATTTAAATAAATTATTGCATAATTGAGGAACGTTTATTATTGGATAGAAAATGAGTGATAAATTTAAAATATTTGGATGTAATATGAATTTATTTTTAGTCATTGAACACAAAAACTTTGCTATTGATAAAACTTAAAATTGATGAAATAATAACAGCTATAATCGGTAAATAAAATGATGTAAGAACAACAATTATAATTAATTAATATAATAATTTTGGTATAAATTTTAATATACTTAAAGTTCTCATTACATTTTAATTCATTTCATTTTAATAGATTTTTTATTTTGTAAATAATTTTAATTAATATCAATAGTACAGAATTTTAATAAGTCGTGCTATTAATTGCAAATAGCACTTTTGTTCTATTAAAAATAAAATCATATCGATAATTTTAACTTTAGTTTATTTATAAGTAAAAAATAAAGAACTAATATTATTGTGAGATGCGGGTTGTCTTTTCGTCTTTTCTTTTTATTCGCATTGAATTTTAAATGATACGTCTTTACAAAAGTAGCTGAAAGTATTGCATTGTGAATAACTGTTTATGTACAATAAATTTTTGTTAGATTATTAAATGGTTGAGTGATGTTGAAACTGTTTGAAAAATTATAGTATAACGATCTTTCGTACAAATCCGTAAAATTCGGAAAATTTGAACATGAATATTGGTTTAAGAAATTTTTAAAATCTATTCTTAAAAATCATAAAATCATTAAATACTAACTATATCTATATATAAAAATAAGCAAATTTGAATTTTTATTGAAAAATATAATATTTATATCAATTTATTATTAAGTTTGTCAATATATTCAAACGAAATAATGCCTTCAGTTTTGTAATTATATATACATAATAAAAAAGAATTGTAAATAAATTTCATTATTATGGAATTCTTATGGAATATTTAAAAGAAAAATAACATTGAACAACATTTTGAAATTACTCTTCGGATAATTATATAAATATGATAATAAAAACATTCGAGATTATAAGCATTATCGATTTATAATCGATTAATGTGATTTGGCAACAGTCAGTAATTCTCTACGTACAAAAATCTTTACGCTACAGGTGTCACCTCGTTCGCGCAGTCTTCGCAAAATCCTCAGCAAGCGCTCGAGGAGAATTACGAATTCAAAGAAAATCAAGACTTGTACAACGACGATTACATGATGCGCCAACCTCTGGGTACGTTGCCCGCCTCGGTCATGTACGACGAGACTATGATGCAGACTAAGGCGCCGGAAATAGCGTCGCGATATTCCTTTGTCGATCCACGGCTCACACCCATGGGTGCCTTGTCCGATAGATATTACACTAGACACGCTGTTAATCCACAGATGAAGAGACAGGACTTTAAGGCAAGATATATCTTATTTATAATTTTTTACCAAGCTTTTAGGACAGAGGCTAATGGCAGGGAATAGAGGAGAAAAAAACGGCACTGATAATAGCTATTGTCCTGAATGTTGGTAATGTGTTAAACTGCGAGAAACCTTATGTATTAATTTGCCGAACGATATTTCGTATCCTTAATATATTAATATATCAAAATGAATTAATAGAGTATTAATCGATAGCTAATAATGGATTTATTCTATCCAATGTAATGAAATTCAAATGAACGAGTGTTTTAAAAAACCATGTGGATCGAAGTGACCGCGAGATATATCACTATTAATTGACAGTCTCTTTCTCATTCTAGGTATTTCATGAGATCCCAACGAGTTCTCTCTTATTGACCAACTACGATCCATTCTACTCGCCACTTCTGTCGCGTCTTGATGCCGTCTTTTCGCGTCTCGGACACACTAGCGAGGGTTGCCGCGAATACGCGGTCTGTGCGATGTATCGGAGTCCAGCTCGATACGCTCCCTATTCGAATCTCGTATCCGCTCAACTGTCACGGGAGTTGAACGAGCTGCGCAAGCCGAGCTCCGACAATCCCGATGTACTACGATTCTTCCGGTACATGAAGGCGGCTAAGGACGGCCAAGACGGATTGCGCTGCGAGGATCTGTACGAGCATTGCGAAAGCGCCCGGGACGATCAGACCATAAGGCAGAATCAGGCAATGCTTGCCACGTACCAGGATATCGACAAGCTCGTGCATGCCAGGAAACTTTAGGCTGGTCCTGAATTCGTGTCTGCCAGGAAGCTCTAGGCTGGTCCTCGACTCAATGTTCTCATAACTTGCTTTTGTCCTTGCTGCTATTGCGGGTCATGAGAATTTTGTCAAATACGTGATAGGATGCCGTGTATAAAATTAGTCTGCATTCAGTGTCTGGTTAAGTTTGACTTATCGACTCTACTCAAACTATTGGATATTGCATTAGTCTTTATATAATTTTTATAGGACAAAATACTATTAATCTCTTTAAGAATACAATATTTAATCAATATTACATTATTAAAGAATGAAACATGCATTTAACGTAATTTTAAGGAATGTTTGCAATTACCTTTACATGCAAAATTACGTGTTTTAGTAAATATTTATTCTAAAAGAAATATTTGTTTAGATCAGAATTATGGAAGAAGAAAAAATAAATAAAAAGATAAAAAATAAATAAATAAATAAAAAAAATTAACCTTAATGAATGAAAAATTAAATTTTAATGAACAAGATTGAAATATTTTTTCAAAATTATTTATTTTTCTTTACTATTAATTTATTGTTATTTATGTTCTTACGTTACACTTAGTTTATTAATATTATTGGAGTTAATGTAATAAGTTAATTTAATATTTATTCAAACACTTCTGCCATTTATAGCTTAGATTCGGTTACAAGCAAATTGTAATTTTTTTATGAAATCAAAGTGAAAGCACAAAAAGGTTGCCGGATCGATTAAACATTATATATATATAAATATATATATGCTATAATAATATTATTATATAAGAAACAGTAAATTAAACGCTGCTTAGAATTTATTAAAAAATCGTTAGTTTTTACAAACTAATTTTTTAACTATACGATTAAACTAAGTACAATAATTTATTGTATGCAATCACCATAGCGATGATTGATTCAAATTTTAAAATAGGAATATTTAATAATATTTATTATGAAAATTAATTTTTTAATTGATTGAAAATTATATTTGTAATTGTTATTTACAATACAATTAATATAACTTGATTAACTCTATTAAACTGCCGTATTATATTTATTATTATTTATTATTTTATTAATTAAAATGTTTAGATATTGTAAATAACGATTATTTACGTACATTTGTTATCATGAAATTAAAATTTTGTCCATTGTAAATATTAATACATATTAATCAATGTATTATTAGAGAAACGACGTAGACAATGATGCTTACGTTTAAAAAACAAATTCAAAAGTTAATTCATAAAATATCATCAAGTAAACGTCATTATCGATATTTCTTTTGCTATTAGATATTACAAAATTTGCTATTATATTAAAACTATTTTTTAATATTAAAAATATTATGACCTTGAAAAAAAATTTATTAATCCAATAAGCTAATAATCAATAATTTTTAATATTAAATCATAGTTTCTAAGTTCCATTAAATAGTATAAAATGTTAGGCAAATTATTTATTTACTACTTATCGTTACATTAATTTTGTGATTTTACTAATAACACTCAATTATGGATAATTTTATTAATAGCCATAAGATATAATTTATTATTAATTTTAAAGAAATCAATAAATGTTAACATTTTTAATTTATAAATAGCTTTATTTATAAATACTTTTTGCCAAGGAAGTAAATCCTATCATATATTCAGATCATCTAAATCTAATTTAAATATTTAAAGGGATTGATATAATTTCACAATTAAATGCTTGTAAACAAGATAATTTTGAATGGATTTTTTTTTTGAAATAATGAAAAATTAAATTACAAAATATTAATATAATTAAGGTAAAAAATATTGTTTTAAACTGAAATATCCTACTAATAATAAATTATATTATTATATGAACAGTTTTTAATAATTACAATAAAATATCTTCCAAAAATAAGGTATAATATGTTATGCGAAACTGTAAATTTACTTAATTTATTTTATTTATTGCTTATTTTAAATTACAAGTAATTATTTAATGTCACACGGATGATTATTTTACATTTGATTTCATATTATATGATATAAGTATTTGAAAAGCTTTTAATTTATTAAATTTACTAAAGGACGATTTATTTTATTTCATACTTATTAATTTTAAAACTCATTATATTTTTATGTAAAATCATTCATTTTGATGACTAAAAATATCGTTTAGTTACTTTTTAAACATATTTTTCTAATAAACCATTTTTCATCTATGTCATATTTATTTTCGCTTTCATTTGTTTACATGTATTGTTTGTATGCATTAAATGAAGTGTTCATACAAGAAATGAATTAACTCACATTACGTTTATACACTGACATTACTTTAATACGTAAATAAATTTAAGTGCAAAATGATTCGATATTTATATTAATTATTTGTATTATTGATTAAAGGTGTACAGTAACGATATGTCGACTATTCCATATATTTGATAATAAATAAAGTCAGAGTAAGTTGGAACTTTATTATAAATTTTAATTTATTTATCTACTCATATTAATTCAAAAAGTATTTCCACAATTTATTATTTGGACTTGTAAAAGTGAATCGATTACAAACATTTGTTATCACAACATATAAATAATAATTATTAAAGGCATAATTGTATCAATTTAGAAACTCAGATAAACATTGTTTTGATCATATTTTTCAGGCCTAGATATATTAAAAATCAATTCGTATTGTTGTTCCATCTATATTTCAATTTATTACGTGGTTAGTTTCATGTAAGATGTTAATTTAATTTCAATTAACGTTGGGTAAAAATTTTTTTGTAATTTTTCAAATGACTTTAAATACACGAACGTGCCACACTCATAACTTCGTATGATATTAATAAATAAATTAAAAACATCTTTATTGTTGAGCAAAATTTGTTAGCTATAAGCATCAAAAGTGTATATAGAAACAATATTATAAGGTACATATTAAATGCATTAAAGATAAATTATTTACGATTACTCGTGACTTATAGTCGTTTCTCAATAATTTTATTTATTTTTAGATTCATTACTTAAATAAATAAATTTGAGCCTATAATACTTGTATTATACATATTTTATGATATGTTAATTTATTTAAAACTATAAAATATTATTGTGGTATATTTATAACTTTATTACCTTATTAAATAGTTAATATTATAGCTTAAATTAAAATATTACAAATAAAATCGAAATCTTTACAGAAATTAAGCTGTTAAATAATTTATTAGAAAAACTTATTGGATAGTAATATTACGAAAAACTGTCAATTCGAAGCTTCGTATAATATAATATTCAATAAAGTACTCGGAATCATCTTAAAAGTAATAGCAAACATTTAAAAATTTTAATTTTGTAATAATAAATACTTATAATTAAATTAATGGAAATTCTATAATACTAGATAAATTTATAAAGATATTCGTACAGAGAGATTCAATTGAATAGAAAAAAATTTTTTTTTAAATATAATTTTTATAAATATATACAAATATTTTTCATTACACATAAAAAAAGACTTTGCGGTGTTCGAGAATGGATAACTTTAGGATGAGTGATCTCTTCAAAATCATTGTTAGAATGTATTTGATCGTTTATAAAATTCGCGTCTCTTCTCAAGTTTATAACGGTGGTGGTTTATTATAGTGCTGGCAAACCGTAATCACGTGTCTTTGAAAGCAGTAATTGAAAAATCTGCACAATCATTTTTTACACCACAATATCGAATAATGTCAAATTCATAAACAATATGAGTATATGTCAATGCGTGCCGATCGCGAATATAGGTCGATGAAACAAAGCCGAATAGGAATTACGTGAAGCTCGTACAATTGGTACCTTACCTGTCGAGTGTCACGTATCCGCTCAACGAAAATCGTCGTCCCATGGAATGCGCGTGTTAGCAGGCTTTCGCAGTCTCGCTGTCTCACTTCCCGTCTCTTCCTAACGGGAATCACTTGGAGTGCTACGGTATTGGATGGTCGAGCCGGTCAGAGTCCGGGTAACGTTCGTTCAGCGCGCTCGCTTTTTTTATTGTGGAGCCACCAATCCCAGTCAATGTGACGGTAAGAGTTGAAATTTCATGTATTGTCGTTGATTTTTATGGTAGGATAAATAAAAGTCAATATTTGTGAACAACGTACTTGTGAAAATATGTGATTATACGTCTTGGCACATCGAAGGTTATGTTATTAAAGTGAATAAATAGGGATGTTTGTTTATGGAAAAAATAAAACTTTACGATATTATTTTATTACGTATAAGGTAATTGACACTGTAGAATAGAGTTGTGGATATTGTTTTGAACAGTTAGTTTGAATTGTTAGTGATGAATATTTTACTACGATAAATTTTATAAAATTTCTATAAACATGTAAAATTATTGGTAACAAATCTTTTCATTTCTTTCTGCATGATCTAATTATTACGAATATTTGAATCTTTATTAACATTTCGTTTAGATTTTATAAGTACTTAATTTCTAGATTTCAGTTAATACGTATCGTATTCTTCTTTTAACATTTGGTAAAAAAAAAAAAAAGTAAACCAATATAATTATATTGATAAATATGTAGAAAATATATTAAATATCTCAATGAGTCAATAGGTCACTTAATGAAGTATAATGAGAAAATAAATATAAATAAAAGTAGTACAACTATACATTTTCCTAATGTAAATCTTAATGTTGAGAAATTTTATATACATCATAAGAAACGTTCGAATAATTTATCAAAAAATTAGTTTTATTTATGTATATATTGCTACGTATAATTTATGTATATTATAGATAGAATTACATTTAAAATAATGTAAAAAGTCATTAATTATAAAGAATTATTATTTTTATTAATATAAAATAGTATTTATAGTTCAATTATGGTAAAAGTATTACATTGATTGATTAAAATATATTAAAAATACTTTTTTTTTTTTGCTTTTTTCACTTTTTTGAATACTTAAATTTATAAGAAGAGCCAATACAAGGTACATCTCTTTCAAATAATTTGTTGTGAAAGAATCAAAATAAGTTAATCTAATGAAATATCCGAATTATAGTTTTTGTTCAAATTCATAGGAAAAGGAAGTAGAGTAGAATGAGATTTGACCACTTGTTGGTAATATGGATTGTTGTACTTTCAATAAAATGGAGCTATGGCAGAAGCGATAAACAGACCCTTCTAGAAGAAGATAGTAATGACAGAAATTCTACAAAATTAGGTAAAACATTGAAAACCATTATGTAATAATTTATTGTTTACTGTCTTATAGTATTTTTATAAATTAAACTCCAATTTCTTAATTATTTTGAAGGTATCTGTTGAATAGGAAAACAATTTCTTTATTTAATTATATTTTGTTTGCATTGTTTCCATATCAAGTACATGTTAACGAACAGACGCAATCGGAAGTTCCAAATAATTGTAATGGAACACAACACACTAAAGATCTCTCAGATTGGATCGGGTTTGAGGCAAAACAACAGAATGATCAATATTTATCCAGGTCAAAGAAAATATGTTCAAATAATGAGAATCCAGATTATACAAATAGTAATATGAATATTATCAAAAGATTTGAGAGGATGTTAAAGACCGCTAATATGGAGTCCAATCAATATTATAATTTAAAAAGGTAATTTTTCTTATTATTTGCTCTATTGATGAATTACATGATGTTATTTGCTATTTAATACAAATATGTGATAATGTATATATTATAAATATATAATAGGTAAAAAGTGTGCACTAATTGATCTAAAAATTCTTTATTTTTTAATTCTATTAACAAATTTATGTATGATTATATTGGGCAGACTTTCAATGTTAAGTTATAAATCATTCTATATAAATGAAATATTTACTTTATATCAAATAAGTTAATAAAAAAACAACAATATCACACAAAAGTAATTTGATATTTTATAGGTCTGACAATTCAAAATGGAATGATTTTTTAAAGCAAACTATAAATGCAACTGTACAATTGATAAAACTTTTTATCGATGACGTATTTACTCCGATTTTATCAACAGAAGAACATAAAATATACACACCAAGATTTTTGGATGAAATTGCCGAGGAAATTGATGTTCTTGAAAATAAAAAAGATTCATTATTCTGTAATTATAATTCATCACTTTATTCTTATACCTTTAACCAATAATATTAAAAACCTTTTTTTTTTCTTTTAATATGATTATGAAAAATTAATATTCTTATGTAATATTTCTATTGCGAACAAATATATATATGTATATATATATATATTTGTTATATATATATATATATATATATATATATATATATGAAAATATTTAACTTATTTCAGCTCGAAACCGTTTTAAAAGAATATTAATACCGATGCTGATTGTACTGAAGTTCTTCAAACTGAAACTCTTGATATTTTTACCGATTATCTTAGGTTTGGTTTCATTCAAAAAGTTCCTTGGCTTCTTAGCTATTGTAATTCCAAGTGTCATAGGATTATTGAAACTCTATAAACCAGTGGCACAAATATACCCACCTCCAATATATTTGCCTAGTGGAGTAGGATTTCCACTTGATCATTACAAGGGTAGTCATGGATCTATTCATGACAATGGTTTACTTCAATATGGATCACCAGATTATCTGGATCAAAATAAACATATTAGTGATAATGTGAATTATGGACAGAAGTTAGCATACCAAGGCTATGAAGATTATCAAAATTAATGTAGCTCTTATGTTTTTGTTTTGAAAAAAATTCAAATTTTTTATTTTGATTGCTTAAAAATTATTAAAAATTGATTTAAAAACGCTAGATTCGTTTCCTCTTTAATTATTCTTTAGGACTTCATTAATTAAATGGAAAAATTTGAATTATTTTTTTTTTTACATTTTATATGCAGATACATAATTTAACGAGCTATTAACCGTACATTTTCGATATAGTGATATTAATTTAAGAAACGAACAGTGAATATCTTCAGATATTTAAATTATAATAAAATATATTTTGAAATGTAGATTTGACATTACTTTTCTGCACTAGAGCTTTACATGTTCTTAATTATGTTGTTGATTTAAATAAATTAAAAATTAATCGAAAATTTTATAACAATTTATACAATTAGTTACACGTGTTTTTTTTTTTTTTTTTTTTTTTTTTTTTTTTTTTTTTTTTTTTTTTTTTAAGATGCTACTTAGTAATAAATAATGAAATTAATTTATTTGTAATATTTATAATTTATTAATCATTTAAGGATAAACAATTGATTTTTATGGTGAATAATAGTAATTTTCACACTAATGAAATCAATAAATCTTAATTCTAAATAATATTCGATCAAAATTTTTTCTTATCAGAATAAAAGTATTTAAAATATAGGAATGATAATCTGAAGAAATATTGAATAATTTGCTACGAAAATTTTCCATCTTAAGAAATAAACATTTATTCAGAATAGTTACCACATTGAGATTTACTTATCGAAAACCAATAAATAAAGTAAAACAACATGCTTAATTTCTGTATTTGTTAAATGATAATTTATTAATGCAAAATAAACTTATGTAAATATGAATAAGTTTAAGGTATATAGATCTAATTTATGTATCTACTTTATGTATTTATAAATTTATTATAAGTGCCATTATATATTTTACAAATCAATGAAGAGAGTTAATGAAAATTAAAAAAAATTTATGAATATAATAAATCATATAACAACACTTTGTTTGATATCTGTTACCAAATACATATTAAATACATCTTAATTTGTAAATTTTTTTAATAAATCATGTAAATACGTAAAATTTAATATGTAAATTTTATATACTATTTATATATGTAAATTATAACGCTATTATTTCAGGAATTACATTTTGTTTTTTTAAATTCTTCGTAAAATGAACATTTTAAGAAACAATATTTGAAGCGATATTTAAAATATTTAAATATCATATCTAGCCATGATAACTTTATGACTGAAAGAAGTAAATAAATAGTTGCATTACAAAAAGTATAACCTTTTCTTTTCTATGTACCCAAAATGTTATAGATAAAATATTCATTTAAAATTATATTAAGTATTTTAAAAGTATATTTAAGAAATTATATTGAATTTTCTATGCTTATATCATTTTAAAAACGTCAATATATTCTATATTTTTTAGGTTTTATTTCATAGTTCATAGTCACACATCAATATTAATTAGATGTTTATTATTTTTGTAGTACGTAATTATTTTAGTAAAATCATAAAATGTTTCAAACAGCTCAAGTTTTAATAGAAATATCTTACATTCTATGTTCACTTATATAAATAAACTTTTTTAAACGATCATTTTCTTATTGCAACATTATACATAATTCTAAATATTATTTTTATATTACTATTCTTTATTTAAAATTTTATATTTAACTAGATATATATAGTAATATGTTGTATTTTTTACAAAATTATTTAATTTTTTCATACCAAATTTATTTTTAGCTATGGTCGAATTAATTTTCGCTAATATTCATTATTTTGTGAAATATATTTATATTAAAATATATAGAAAGTTTTTTTTACATTTTAATTTATATTTCGACATGAAATTTATTATATTTGTTTGTAAGTAATGTTTGTAAAAGTTCCATATTATTTATATCCATAATATCTATATATTCATGTAGAATATAATAATGAAATGAAATCCTTTATAATAGTTTAATTCTTTATAACTATTATCAATTTTTAATTAGTTGTAAAATATTATAAAAATTTATAAAGTAATATGGTCCTTTTTAGACATTTTAATGTCAATAAATAAAACATTACAATAAATAATTTCATTAAATACTGCATAACATTAATATATCTGTATTATACATTAATCATTTCTAATAAATAATTTATGCATATTAACAGATTTTTACGAGACAAAGTACCTTTAAATAAACAATGACTATCATAATTATATTATTCCAATACGATTATACGACTATTATATGACATTATACAGAGATAATAAATAACGTTTTATCTATATTGAATAGGGACAAAATTATATTTAACTTTTTTCATATTCTCTTTTTGTTATTATTAATATATTGAAATATTTAACGAAGTGAATATTGTATTAATATAGTATGCAGTTTTGTGCTATAACAAAAATCATACGTTTTAAAGTGTTTGTATACATATATATATATATATATATATATATATATATATATATATATATATATATTTATTCATAAAACTAGTAATAGTAGATATAATGTTTAGATGATGTTTTAATTATATTAATAAGTAAAGGATTGATGAATTTAAATCAAATTACCAATAGTTTTATACAATTATATAAACAAATTTGTGAATGATTGTGTAATTATATATGGTACGTTTATTTGATTGAATAAATTGTTTGAAATAATTGTATTAGATAATAATATGGATATTATTATTTTGTTTGATATTATTTATTCTTGTAGTATGTTAGATGCATTTTTTAAATAATAATTTTTTTAATATTGCATTTTTTATTAGAAATTTCAAGCTCTATAATAAATCCTATATTTTACAGTGTTGTGCCTAGTTTAATTGGAAAAATAATTGTTATAGCAATTAGATGATGTTTAGTTTTGTCACTTTAATTATTTATGTTTTTTCAAATTTCAATTACGTATAATTGAATATTGTATTATTCATAGCAAAATATTATTAGGCACATCTTATAATATTAATAATTCTATTATATAGAACATTATAAATAATGAATCGTATTCTTTAAATAATTCATAAAGATGGCTTTCCCAATTTATCACTTACATGCTAAACCTTAATAAATGTTTATGATGAAATAAATCATCATTAGCAGGGATATAAAATGAATTTTAGATATTATTATCTATGTTAAAAGAATTTTGTAAATTAACGTAAGATATATATAAAATAATTTGATATATACGTAGAATGCATGTAATGAAAATATAGATTTAACAAATTGTGAAAAATGAAAAAGCAATTTGTTTGCTATTTACTTATGAATTAATTGTAATTTATTATTAGAATCAATTTTAAGCAATAAATATTATAAAAAATTCAAATAATTAGACATGGAATGTGTATTATTACGATGCCTTTATGTTATAAAACTTGGAATTTAATTATATAGATAAGTGAATGGTGTTCATTGGAAGCATATTCAATTCTACTTAACCTTAATTTTAATAGTAATAAAAATCTTTCAACTTGCGTAAATTAATAATAGCATGTAAACTTAATTTAATTAGTCAAATAAGAAAGCGTTTAATCTTTCAAGATTAGTGAATAACGAGTGCTATATTTATATTCTATTACTAAATAGCTGACCTAATCTTCTAGTTATGGAATCGCAGCATATTTTATGCAAATATATTACTGAAATATAGTCTTATCAAACTTTTTTTAGATGAAGTTTTTTGAATATAGAATATACTGAGATTAGAATAATATTATATTAGAAATATGTAATTTGAAATAAGGAGCTCACAATATCGCCTTAATATTTATATTCATAAATTCATTTACAAGTAATAGAATTTATTTTGAGAATTTTGAGTTTGAATCGTTATTTGGAAACTTTTCATCTACAGGTTTTTACAGCCCGTAAAATATATAAGCATTTATATCGGTAAATAAAAAAAAAAAATATTATTCTATGTAAATAGTCTTGTAAATAAATGAAATATAATTTAAAGCTAATAATACATTTTTTTTTAATTAAACAAATTAATAGAATAATAAACGTTTAATTTCCCTTTTACATAAAATAGGTCTGGAATAAAATAAATCTTTAAATTTTCCAATATTATTTTATACCGATACTATCAAATAATAAAACCACAATAGACAAAAATATTTATGAAGTCAGTTTTTCTTATAGCCATACAAATAAAAATAAACTCTTATGATTGATATAAATATTTTATATAGATATAAATTTAAAATATTATAAAAATAATTTAATTAACTATTAGTTTTCAATTTAGTTAATAATTTAGAAATAATATTTTTGAAATTGTAATCTATGATTGTTATAACATTTAACATTTTGGTAATTATAATTACAATTCCAATAAAAAAAATTTTCATATTTCACATATTTCATACTCAAGAATTACAGGCAACGAAACATTCTCAGAAAATATTATTTATTATTAGATTATTATTATGAAAAAAATTTAACACATGTTTTAGTGTTTTTTTTTATTATTCTCTGATTCTCTGAATATAAAAGTCGAATTCATTGGTATGAAGCGTTCCATAAAGTATAGAAACATGAAATAATAGAATATTGAGTTTTCATTAGAAAAGAAAGTGTAAATCAAGCTGCAGCGTAAATCTTTTAGAAAAATGAACTTTCTCTATGGAATATCAAATCAGTTTTATCATTTATATTGAGTACGCTGAATTGTATATAGTCTAGAGCAAATTTGTTTAACTTTATTTCTTGTCCATGATTTGAATGCATATTCGTCTTAAAAATTGTACGAAAGATTATTATATATAATAAATTCTGTATTACTATATATATATATAATAAGATTGTTGTAAATAATAGATATATTTATTAAAAATGAGTATATTATAATATATTCAAATGATAGCTTGTAATTTCTGAATATTGTAATTGTATTGTGATGTTCAATTAAAAAATTAATTAATTAATTGGTAACTGAATGCTAAGTAAATGTTATAATA